TGACGCTCTGCGGGATGCGCTTGAGCGCCAGGTTCGAGAGGCGCAGGCTGCGCAGGTTGCTGCAGAGCTGGACAAAGTCGAGCGGCAGGTCCGACATGGGGTTGCCCGACAGGTCCAGGCTGACGATCCAGTCGGCGTGGCGGTAGAGAAAGATGGGCACCATCTCGAGGTTGCGGCTCTGGAGGTCGAGGTGCTGGAAGGTGTGCTCGCTGTTGCCAAACGCCTCCGAGTCAAACGTCGGCACGCTGTCCGGCCGGAAGACGAAGCGCAGCAGGTACGACAGGTCGTCGCGCCCCATCTCCTCGAGCGCGTCGCTCTCGGTGTAGCCCGCCTGGAGCAGGCGGCGGCGCTGCAGCTGCGCCGGCTTGTCCGACCCGCCCAGCGGACGCTCCGAGCCCTTGTCGCGCACAAACAGCCGGAACGCGCCCGAGTCGTTGGTGAGGCTCTTGCGCGCCAGGATCGTCCGCACTTCGGACGCCGTGTAGGTCAGCGAGCAGGCCAGCGTGATGAACGAGTGATCCATCTTGTACACCCGCAAGAAGTACTGTCGGCGAAGCGAGCAGCAGAGCGAGGAAGGCGGTGGCGACGGCGGCGGCAGCGGCAGCGGCGGCACCGTAAGCGGGGGTGGAGGCAGAGAGAGGAGGCAAGGACGGTGTGTCAGCACAGCGAGTCGAGTCGAGCGTCGGGAGTGGACGCCGCAGGGGGTTGAGCGAGGGGGACCGAGGCACCACATACGTTCTTGGCACCGGCCTGGTGCGAGGCGGTCGTGTGGGCCCGCTTGGTGGCGCCCGAGTCGCGCTTGACGATGGTGTGGACCAGGTTGTCGTCGTCGGCGGCCAGGTTGTGCGTCGAGCCAATCGTGGCGAGCGAGGGCCGCTGCGTGCCGACGGAGCCGGCCGTATTGGGGCGGTTCGAGTTCATGCGGTGCTTCGACGGCCGATGGAGGCCCAGCTTGCCCGCTGCCGCCGCCGCCGCCGATGCACCCACCGCCGCCAGCGTGCCGCCCCGCGAAGAGGGCCGCGCCGAGCTGCC